GTATTCTTCAAATACGAAAGTGAAAGGATGATCTTGGAATCAATGGCGTCAGGGCGAGCTCTTCGTTATCCACTCAAGGAAGGCCAATCGGGATGCAATCGTTCTGAGCCTCTTCGGGGGAATACATAAAAAGCAAAGGAGATGCTGCCTGCGGGATGAAATCAGGATATGCTCGCTTTAGCTGCATTGCGACCTCCACCCCAAGGGTGGCTAGGGGTTTCTCGCCCTTTCAATGCGCCGATTAATTTCTTCATTGTTAGTAATATGCGTATCAAATTTACAGTTATGCCGATCAAATTCAACCGAGACAGTATCAATATTGAAGAAGCCAGTGGACGAGTTTTTTCCCTTAAATTTGTTCGACGGACAGATCAAATGACGTTTAAAAAATGGCGCAGTACTCATTTTCATTGCACACTGTGAATGTTCGAAAATTGTGCCGAAACACATACGCATACACATTTTGTGGTGGAGTGTGCGTTTATCCACACACGCAAAAAATTGAACAAAAATGTTACAAAGCATCTCCGCGAGATAGGATTAAAAATCATAATAATACGTCAATTTTTGTGAATCTGCTTCTTAAGTGACATACCACGGAGGAATATTAAGAACGAAATAAGTATGTAGATTGAACAACTTAAAACATTCATTGTTTAAAAAGATTCAGTGTAACACACTGCACTACAGCGACGAATCACAGCCTTCTGAAACGCTCCCGGGTGAGAAATGTCGACTTCTCTGCGATGTACGCACAGTTCCTTTTATTCCGGGAGGTGGCGGTGTTCGTTTTCGATTGGTCAGTGAGGTTCGGCGCCGACCTACACGACGACTATCTGGAGTTTTCCCACCTCAAGGTATCCCCCAGGACGATCCCCAAACACCCGACTCGCCTTCTGGCGTGTGTTGTTGTGAACTGCATCAAAGTGTGTGTTGGGCGTGATAAGGGGAGAGGATCATGACAAGGAAGAGGTACGAAAGAGCGCGCGCGGCTTATGGCCCGTTTGTTAGGTTATTCGCCTGGTTTGATCGAAAAAAACAAACACGGAAAACTACCGATGGGAGTAGTCGACCTCTAGAATTGTTCTCGAGACAAATATCACATTCAACCTAGACAGTTCCAATATAGAAGCAATGTACGAGTTTTTTTTTAATTTGTTCGACGGACACAACAAATTTCGTTTAAAAAATGGTACAGTTCTCATTTTCTTTGCACACTTTGTATGTTCAAAAATTGCAAAGTTATAAATATGCGAGAAATTATGTGCTTTGTAGTACTTATTATTTCAAATAAAAACCGTTAATGCTCTCTATCCCAGATATTCTTCTATTTTAATTGCCTTTGATTTAATTATACTACCTGCAATTTATTAATTTAAAAATTTGTTCGGATCTACTACCGCCTACATTACTGTAAGTTCAGTAAACGGATATTGGAATAACATGAATAGGGAATTTTCTACCACAAAGAATGTATTAAAATAGATCAAAAAGATTTTCATCAAAAATTAATATTTAAATTATAATAATGTTTTGCTGAATCAATGACCTGGGTGAACGACAGTGAAACATGAAGTCTATCATCATTAAAATTTAATCGAAACCTTTATAAAGCATCTAAAAGACATTACAATAACTAAAAATGGATCTATGATTTCTTTAGCGCTGTTATCAAAGAGGGTAATTATTACACACATTTTGTATCAGAACAATTTATCATCATTAATTTTAAATTACTGTCGTTAAAAATATATTGCTTGGTGATGAAGCAATTACCACCTGAGCGAATTGGGACGTAAGTCTCTCAACAATTACACCCAAATGGTGCGAGGTTCGTCATTTCGTATATTGATAATGAAGGTCTGGATTATTACTGAGTTTTCTGGATAATTACATTTACTAACGTACTTCAGAATGCAACCCCCAGAATACCAGAATGCAATCCCCGTCTCAGATGACATGTGAAATAACTTTTATATAGTTTTCTTACTTTCTAATTTACGAAGAAATTGTTGATGAATTATTTCATTTGTGTTTGATGCAGTAAATTTCCGATCTTCGTAAGTCACTCTGTCACTTTATTCATAGCGACCTTTCACAATATGTACATGCAAATAATGGGGTATATGTTTTGTAAAAATATTGAGAAAATGGTTAAACAAATGCAGACGGTACCCTGCATTACTATAAGATATACAAGCGTAGGCATTCATCCCATCTGCTTCAGATGTCATCGCATCTATATATCGTATTTCGTTGCAAGAATTGATGCGAAACAAAGTAAAAACTGGATAAAATAAGGAACGAAGTGGTGTGGGAAAGAGCTGGGGTTCAAACAACCATAACCAGAAGACTAGAAAACAAAGCTCTTCAATGGTATGGACATGTCCAGAGGATGCGAAATGAGAGAAGGCCAAAACAAATTATAAATTGGATATCTGAAAGAAGACGTAGAAGAGGTAGACCTGGTTTAACCTGGAAGAAATATATATATATACACGTTATGGAGGTATATAAGTTATGGAGGAGAAAGGATTGGAAGAGGGTCAATGGGAGGAACGAGAATTATGGAAATCGAAAACGGCAAACTCTAAGTGGTAGAAACCGTCGAAAAAGAAGAGACAAAGTAAAAAAAGTCACAAACTTTTGATAATTTTACTTACTAGCATTCGCAATCATTTATAACTCTTGAGGGCCATAATGCTGGGCGAGATGTTGAAGGCAGCCCGTTTAAAAATGTTGCTGTGAATAAGATATGTAGATTTACTAAATTCTAGATTAATATCAAATTATTCATAGATGCTTGTGATTTCTTTTTTTAAAAAGGGGAATTGAATTAAAATATTTTTACAGTTTGATGCATTTCCATTTTCATATCAACATTGTTTCGAGAAATTAGAAAGTAAAAATATGAGAAACAAAACGACTTTTAACGGCGGCATATTATTCAGAAGTTCTAATGAACCTGAAATTGAAATTTCCTTATAAATTTAGGGAAGAGTTACTTTTTTATTTTATAAAACGTTATTACAACTATTATTTTATTATAATTATCATTTATTAATTCTAACAGTTACATTTTACCTAATAAACTTTTTTTTCATTATTAGGATTGTTCATGCTTTTAAAGGATCCGAATTAGAGCTATCATATTCGTAAACATTCATACAGAAATACTTTTTCTAATACAGATTTTGAGTATTATTGGAATAATGATATTCATTGCTCAATTATAAATAATAAAAATTAAAACGTTTATGTGTGATTACGGAATAATAGGATTTTATAATCGTTTTAAAAATGATTACACAAATTATTTTTAAATTACCATTACGATTCAAATCAAAGAATCGTAATCATAAACTGTCTGGTAATTAAAGGAGTTGTTGAAAAACACGTCACAAATGTAGGAAAACTAAACAGCCACGGAGATCACTCGCTAACCGAAGTTGCGAGTTTGTCAATCAATCTTCTCTCCTGCATCGAGCTGGCCGTTCATTTATTTCAGGATTCCACTGGGAGTCGTGATTTGCGTTTAAACCACGTAACTACGGAATACTGCTCACCTTTATGGCTTTATCATTGCTTTCATGTAATGCACCTCCATCTACTTTACATACACACTTTCAAAATCGCCATAGGATGTGTGTTCTAAAAAGCGTGATCCACGTCCGATTTTATTACCACATAATGGCGAGTGGGGCGTTTCAATTTACGAGGGAATTCCCTCGCTGCGTTTTTGTCAAACGCGATTTGTGATAGACAGCCAACTTTTTACATGAGAAAGTTTTGTATAAAAAATGTTAACTCCTAGAGATTTCGTATTTGAGTATTTAGAAAAAAACATTTCTGTTCATATGTTGCTGCTTTAATTGGTTTTACATAATGTAAGTAGAGAGTAATAGGAAATTAGGGATACCATAAAATGTAACCATTCAGTATGCAAACACTTTGATTTAGAAGAGTCATTATCCTTTTTAAATAGCTAATAAAGTATTAATAATAATATTGTGTGCCTAAATTCAAGGTGCTACGTGTCGGTTTGCAGAATACTTAAAAAGTGGTTTCATCTGCTTAATACCGGTTCTGATAAATATTTAATTAAGTCTTTTATGTCAGGAGATATCAAAGAATTGCTAGGTAAACACTACTTTTTTCAAACTATTTTTTTTATTTCCCTGATTTTTCGGTAAAACCGCGACTGAGACATTGAGTGAGTGCTGTTAACTTTGTCCTTTGCCTTACGCCTCTTTCCTTCCCTTACGTATTGAACTGATCCTTTCATCCCACGCAATGTTCTGAACAGATTCTAATTCGTAAGTTTTGTCATAAATTAAAGTCCCGGAGAATAAAAAAGGTATTATGAGTATTAGCGAAGATAAGATAATGATTAAATTCGTTATAATTATTCAACTTTAAAATATTCGAGAAAGTAAATTTTCCAGAAACCTTATATAAATATCTTTCGCAAAAACAAAAAGATTAAAAGTATCACGTAAAACAATGATCCCTTAAACCTTTTTCTTGCGATGACCTTTCTAAAAGAATATTTTGTTTCATCGACTCCCTTGATTTTTTCTACTAGTATAATACACAGCATACAACATTATCGTAACACAAATAATTGCACGTGAATTATTTGACAACAATTAGGCAAAAAATACGAATAAACGACTTATTAGATTTTTTGAATAATTATATTTTTAAATTTTTACATATATAACCACGCATTATTAGATTTTGAAGCTTTATATTAGCAAACTTTTAATTAATTTAGTTTTTCTCTTCTTCTTCTTCTTCTTCTTCTTCTTCTTCCTCTTCCTCTTCCTCTTCCTCTTCTTCTTCTTCTTCTTCAATAGGATACTGGTTATGCTTTTGACCCCCTACCTATCATGATTGACCCCTTTGAAACTTGCATTGACCCGCGGGGGGGGGGGTCGACACCGACCCCGTTGGGAACCATTGCTCTGTATAAATTGGCGGGGCGTTGCGCGTTGCAGAAACGCGCGGCCTGAAGGACCCGGCGCAGGTGGAGAACCTGCAGGACCAGGCGCAGGTGATGCTGGGCCAGCACACGCGCGGCCAGCACCCGGGCCAGGCGGCGCGCTTCGGCCGGCTGCTGCTGATGCTGCCGCTGCTGCGTCACGTGCCCACGGCGCGCGTCGAGCAGATCTTCTTCCAGCGCACCATCGGCAGCACGCCCATGGAGAAGGTGCTCTGCGACATGTACAAGAACTAGACGGCGGCCGACTCCGCGCCGCCCGCAACCCCCTCACAACGAAGGCCGCCGTCGATTTGGCCCTGGACGACCCGCACGCTCCGACGTTTCTCATAGGAACAAACGCAGATTCCGTGGTCGCAGGGTGAAAGGTCCCAAGTCCGTAACGAAACCGTCTACTTAACACCTTTGACCCTGTGAGCACAGGATTGTCGACCACTGACTGTTTTCACACGCATTTCAGCCCCCCTTCAGTATCGCCATTGTCACTTGGGTGATGTGACGGAGTTTCTAAAAAAATATGGGTTTATCTCTGCGAATTCTTGATCTCGGTCCTTGAACAAGATGCTCCATTTACTGAGAATCAATGCTCTGTACTCATATAACAGGTCGAGTGAACTCAGGAACTGTCATGCGTTTTCGACAAAACAGATAAATCTTGCAAAACTGACTTTTGAGTCTAGGATAAGTAGATATTCTACCGATTGGAGAGCTCCACCCATATGTTTCTTCGACCGCTAATTACACAAACCTCAAATTCATATCCATCAAATTATTATTTCGGCTTGTCAGCAATGTTTACGCTTCTGATGTCGATTATCTAAGCATAACGAAATTGACAAAATTCCTGGCATAAAAATATGTAAAACTATTTTGAAACATTGGTAATTCTAGTTACCTAATACCAAAACTGTAAATAACAGCCCGCCTCCAAAAATGACCCAATTCTATTTCGCATAGTTCATTTCATAATTAAAAGTTCACGTCTATTGTTTTAACATTGATTTCGTTCTACACGAGTAGATTTGCCGCGTTCCGGCGCCTGATTACAATATTGTCTTTTTTTACTTTCATAAGAGCGAGAAAGTAAAAAAATAATTTTCTTCAATTCAATCTCAAATTAAGTTTTGGGGAAAGTTTCAAGATTAACTCAAGAAGCAATCTGGTCCAAAAGTTCCAGTGAACATGACTCGCTCATAATATCTCAAACGATAAAATGATGATCATTGAACAGTGAATAGTTTGACCTCTGGAAATGTTCACTGTGATATCCTATAATCGTTCACACTCGATAACTGTGAAATATGAAACATAAAGCACGCTCCTTTTGCCAAGTCGATGGACTTGTCTCCAAGCAACAATGTGTGTGAAGTTCGGCCGTGTGACCCCAGCAGTGGCAGCGGAGGCACCGAAGCAACACCGTAAGTTGTTGTAAATGGCTTGTAAATATCCAAAAATGCGGAATCTGTATAGAGCTCTCCCGCGACCACCGCCGCCGTCGCCGTCGCCTAAATCAGCAGCCTGTCCCTTGATGTACTTAAAAAAGAAAGGCTTACGTGTGTTCTCCCTAAGGAATAGCAGAATGTGTACTGTCATAAATTCGAAATGATTGAACTTAAGTGTTTCTGCAACGATTGATCTTAGGTGCTTCTGCGCAGAAATGTGGTGAGTGAGGGACTTCCTGTCATCAGTGTTGTGGCTGTGGAAATGAACTCGAAGGTGGAATGTGAAGATTTTGAATTTCTATTGAACAAATAGAGATATCGAGAGAATGCTTACACAAACTTCGCGAGGAATTTATTTATCCTTTCCATAAAGTTGATGTCTTTCTTCTTTAAATAAATTGTGTGTGCGTGTTATATACTACATGCAATCAGTGACTATGTGTAGTCGTTTCTCACACCCAATATTTACTTTTAAAGGTGCAATGCTACGAGTAAGAAAATAATTTACGATCCAAAAAGTTTCAGACTAACATTGTAATTAATGTAGGCTGTCCTTGTATTATGTTAGCTACACAGCTTTATTTTTCTTTTAAATGCTACTGTGCTTTTCTTACATAATTTAATTTTCTCTCTCATACACAAAGCGAAAATGTTTCTAGTAGCTTGACAGGCGAAAAAGTTTGATGACAATAGAACTATTATTTGCTAGCATTGATAATTCCGAGTCATCGAAATGAATCAATAAAATAAATTAAGAAAATTATTCAGCAGTAAATAATTGACATAAATGATACGTTGTAATTCTATTATCTTCCATTCCGTACTCATTTTGTAAATTGGCGGATTATAGAGAATGAATGGTATCATGGATCCTTTTCTTGTTTTCATCTTCTAAGGTTCAAAATTTGTTGTTTTTTATTCAGCATTTGTATGGATATAATCAGCAGTATCATTTATTAATCCTGAAGTGATGGGTTCTTTTATATTACGTATGTAATCACAATTATTGTTTTTAATGGAACGTGAAAACGCAATGCAGGTTATATTGGACTACTCTCAACGATGTTAATAAAAAGGAAAAAACTAAGAATGAAGAAAATTATTGAAGGGTAGAACAACAAGCCATAATAATTTGTTAAAATGTACATTTTAGAGGGCAAATATAGTAATTAACTATCATAAAATGTAATAAAAACAAAAGCCGTTATAACATGAAAAAAGGTTGTAATCAATTATCCTACTCTGTTCCAGTACTCTCAGTGACATCGCATTTCCAACACTATGCACTTTATCAGTAATTTTTATTGCAGTAATAATTTAAGTAATAATTTGCAATAATTAATGGTTCTTCGCCAAACGCACATAACGTTCTCGCACTCGCAGTCTTCATTTTCAGGTGGAAATCGGAACGATAACTGAAGGAGGAGCGCTTGAAAGTGTTTAGTCAGATTCATCAAAGTCACATATTACTCGCGCAACTTTTCTTGAACGATGACCTTGATCCCCCTCCCTTGTGCAATAAACAGTTGAAGGCAAAAGCTCGCAGCGGGCACTGATGACAACCTTCCAAGCATTAAAACTTCGTTGGCGCGAAAGAGAAGCTAGTCAACGCCAGTAGCTTTCATAGTGCAGAACTCCTGTTCACATTTATTGTCAATATCGAAAGAAATGGCTGAGTCAGTTCCAGGTCCTTCAAGGAGTCACCAAAACTCCCGAAAAAGTTAAGCACAAGATGCAGTTTTGACTTTTATTCTCCACACGTTTGCAATTACTTAAAATACTCTAGTGGCCGACTTTGTAACTAATACCCCCACACCCCTGAAATCGTCAATCCATCGTTCAAGAAAAGTTGCCCGAGTAATACTTATAACATCATACTTTGACCCGTTGCTAGTGTCTAAAAGATTTAACACTTTGAATCCTAGGGCCACCTTCTGTCTCCTCTTACTCGTTATCTTCCGCCTTATGTTTTGGTCCTTTGCAGCTCTTTATGCTGACTTCTCGAGGGAAGCCGACCACTTGAGCGAAGATTTGTCCACGGACCCTGGGCCCATATTACTCCCACCCAATGCCACGCCATCTTAAAAAAAATTTTTACAGCCAAATTACTAAGGTTATTCGGACACTAATTGCGGAAATATACGACCTAAGAGTTCTAGTTGAATATTCAAAATTGTTAAGTGCTTATTTTACAACGGTCATATGCAAATGAAGAAGAATCGCTTACCTTGCGAACTTTTAAGAAGATTCGAACATCAAAAATTGTCTCACTTTCATTAGATGACAAGCAAATTGATATACTGTTGTAACATGTTGATTAGGAATTCTCCAGATTCAATTCACACCATATCTGCTACATTAAGACACTTTATAAGCAAGAAATGACATAAGTCATTTTTACCAGTAGGGTCCATATTACCACCCCTTTCTCTATCTGAATTTCTCCACCGCCTGAATCTTAGTTCTGAAATCGCTCTCATTAATTCATAATTTGTGTCAAACTTGTCACTAATTGTCAAATTTGTCACAAATTTGTCACTTGACGAATTTAAGCATTATATATCTCCTCGACATTCGATTTTCTAATGTGTTTTTCTGTGTATTATTTTTTAATATATATTTTCTGTATTAGGCGCCTTATACGGAATAAAATTTGTAACATTGTAAATTCTCTATAACCTAGACTTTACTTAAATTTAATTGTTAGTGTACTTTGTTCACTACATTCTCTTTATATAATGAAAGGAACCATTCGCTCTCTTGAGTTTCGTTATAAAGAGTTTTAACTCTATTTCAATGATATTAGTTTAGCAAGAACGCACGTTGCCGAAATTAGTATTCGGCAAAAGGACAAAATCTTTGCCTGTCTGTATTCTGAAACACTCAACTCTGCACCTCTCATTTGAACAACAGTTCGAAAATTTTTGGATCGTCAGTTTCTGCCAAAACCAAGCTCCACGAACCAATTTACATGACGCATAGAAGCGTAAAACAACGTTGTCTCTGATTAACAAAAACTTCGTTACTTAAACTCGTTTCCGCGTATGTAATTCCTACGATCAATGGAATTATTTTATAATTCAGCTGAAATAGAGCAGAACATCACACGAGACAAACTTACAACAACCGTCCTCCGTCATAAACCAATTACAATTATTCACTCATCATGTAATTGCAGCACGCACACATGATACTTCCCGCAGCGACATCAGGGAATCTAAATAAAAGGAAAGGATAAATAAAAATAAAGGAAAGCCTTGCGTTCCTTTTCTCCCGAATCTCTGAACAGCATCTTCCGCAAGAAGAACACTCATCCGCTGTAGCTGTCCATGTGTTCTGTGTCGACGTCATCGTGTTGTGCTCCACTCCTTAATTTTCTTCGCATTTTCAGCATCGCATCATGTTAAACTTGAACGGTGTCTCCTTTTCACCTCTATGTCACCCTGTGTATGGAACATTCTTATTCAAACTGTGCTCAATTTTGAAATGATTGGCGCTTGAGCTACGGCCTAAGGGCCCCTTCACATAGAGACACTCAACAGAGCTTCGGAATGGCGCTTCTATTAGCAAAGCATTGGCTTAAATGGAGTGTCGCACTAGTGACACAGAGGCGTTCAACCGGCGGTTATTGTCGCAATCCCGCTACCAGCAGCGCAGACGCGCTTCTGGGTCACCGCCAGCAGAACAGTTCTGCCAACCTTCACACTAGGCCACTCGAAGCGCCGACGCTACTTGTTACCACGACTGCCTTGCGAGTAGTGATGGCAAATTTTACACAAACAGCGATACATCGATACATCACCTAAAGACAAAACGCATCAATGTGAAAACAACGTTGTTTTAAATATGATAAAATAGGTGATATTTGCCCATCCTATTCCCATTATAATTATTGTACTTAAATGAGTTATATTTTATTGTTTGGTGACGTATAAATAAAACGTTAAAAATAACATTTATCGAATGTAAAGAAGAAATATTTATCTCTCCTCTTTATATCTGCTCATGAAAAATAATAGATATTTCGTTAACTCACTAATAAAGTGGGACATCCTGGACAAATCCCCAACAGTAACCGTAAAGAAATTTTTCTGTCTGGGCATCGACTACAATGATAGATGTCAGTGGCTGTTGGTTATGAACAATTCACAAAAAAATGTTTCTTGAAATTTTATATCTACCATGAGAATTATTTTTGAAAGCATTGATGTTTCTGAATACATAGTCGAAAGTCGATGTGAAGAAAGCATCGAACACAAACATCTATGTTAGTATATGGATGTTTGTGGTCGAGAACGCTTTAAACGCAACGATGTGTTTTTGCCATCCCTACTTGCGAGCGCCGGCGCCCACGGTGCGTCACGGATTCCTCGTGGCCCAGCGCTCAGCGGCGCCGGGCAGCTGCTGCGTGTGAAGAGACCGGTGCTTGCGGGCGCGTGGCCGAGTGGCTCCATCTGAAGGCGTCCTGAGGGCGTGCCGCACAAGCCGCACGCCTAGAGAGGGAGGTGTAGCTGATAAATGGGGCGCAGACCTCATGTATTACTATTTCGTGTTGTTTCACACTTTGCAAATAAATAAATACACATTGGGAGACACACCTTCGCCTATTCCTCAGCGTCGATACCCTGTCCCTGAAACGCGTGATCTGACAAAATAAAAACTTCCTTTCAGAGAAAACCATTTCCTCCAAGATACTATTTAAGTAGGTAATTTTTTTTAACAAATAACTTTTACATTACCTACAAATAAATGAAATAATTGGTATGAAGCAATATTTTCATTAGGTTGACGCAGATGTGTACGAATAATTATTCCATTATTTAAGACCTGACTTGTCTGTAAAAAGTGTATTATTAACATATCCAAAGGAAGTTTCTGTTTAAATTTGATTAAAAACACATTGGTTTAGTATGTTAATGTCCTTATAAGTGTCGAGTATTATCTATATGGTCCATATATTTACATATTTTTCTTAATGAGCATTTGCGTCTGTTAATTTTGGTTGACGTGTGAGCCCATTGAATTTTTTAGGTTTCGTCATTTCAATTCATCGAGTCAACGTGCAAAGTTCCCATATTCCATACGTACATTCTCAATGCAGCAATTACTTCAAAACACACTATCAGACCGCCTTCAAATATACTAAAATACTACTTCAAAATACACTATCAGACAGCTCGGAGCTAGCATTGTCGCTCTCTCAGAAGCAACTCTGTCCGTCGTCAGAGGCCCTAGGGTGCGAGTTCTGAGAATGGCGGATTTTCGATACTAGCTAGACAGCTAGATCGATTTCACACGCTATCTGGAGAATTCTAACCGTTGCTGCTCTGGTTCCTCCTATCAATACCAGGCAAATGCTGGAGCAGTTTCCTAACAGACGTCTTTCTCTTCCTTGTCCTATTCCCTCTCCTTACACACACGTGTGCTGCACCACCAAGTCGAGGGCTTAGGGCTTGTTCCGACTGGGACAGGGCATCACTGGGAAAGATACCTCGAGGAGGAATCGCCTTGAAACCGACGTGTAAATCGGCGTCTAGACGTCGAGGAACACCGCCACCTCCCGGTATTAAAAGCATTCACAACACCAGCAGGACTAACGACCACAGCATTTCACGTGCCTTCAAACAGCAATCAATTCACTAATACTGTAACTGTAATTCATTCCTGCATTTTTGACATCCAAAAATTAAGTAAGCTAAGAATCAAAAAATTCATCCCAATAAAAGTAATTGTTTTTCTAACATTTTTCTTCTATAATCTCAATGGACGTGCACCTTTAAAATAAATACGTTTGTCCTCTAAAGTAAACATTCTTTTTGAAAAAAAATAATTCTTCATCAAACTGAAATTTTTGAATCAATGATTTGTTATTTATAAAATACAGATATACAAAGATAGTTATCCTTTCGAAGATGGGATCACTCTAATAATTTTTCAGATATGATAAATGATAAATGGTAAATAGGGGCATTACGCACGATCTGCAAGCCTGGTGGCAGCCCTCTGTAGAGCTGGGCTACTCTACGCGATATTAGAAACATCGAGGCTATTTGGCCTCCTACCCTACAAACTGGGCTAGAAAACAGTTTTACGTAAATACCCGACTTCTATTTCTGGACATGGCGCTATGTATATTCATTTTTGGTTTATCATCACTAACACACAATATTTAGAATGGTCGGTAATGACTGTTCGAAACAGTATGTTAGTCACTACAGCAACCAAACTGAGTTCAACTTAAGTTTCAAACAATTATAATTATTAAATTGGTTAGTTTGTTATAGAGCAAATAACAGGTTAGTGGTTGAAGTTTGTAAACCCAGACGTAGGCGAAAATGTAAAATCATTAACGGACGCCGGCCATTAAGAGTAACTTTTCGATCCTAAGGTTGCAGTCTATTTAACAGACCAGTTTTACGAAAAACAACGAAAATAAATCACACAGTTCTTCAAACAAGATTGTACAGTGTATTGTAAGATTTAAATAGTTTAATGTAAACACACCAAATTTCTTGA